TTTATTCTTTAATTGTTGAGCAATAATCTCATGATAGAGTTTTAAATGCTCAGGCCTTTTTCTTAGCTTTGCTAATTGAGATTTAAATTGACTGTAAGCCATGTGATAATTGGTAGGTAAGGTTTTATGGTTGATTTTCCATGGTAGCCTTACCCAGTACTGTCCATCATGGTACTGTACAGTTTCTAAGTATTGATTGTATGCACAGACATCATCAGGACTTGGTTGTTCAGGAATTATTCCTATGGCATCAAGTTCCCACAATTGATGTACAGATTCCAATCCATCATCAATCATGTGGGGGATTTTAAGTGGTGACTGTTCTTTGCCTAGTCATGCCACTATTACAGTTTCTGTATGATGTGATTTTTCAGGAGTTGAAGGTTCAAGATCTAGTATAGGTCCTGTCATCAATATGCCTCCTGCTGATTTGAGTATATTCATACCCATAGATTCTTCTGATCCCAGAATGAATCGATGATAGTAGTCAGCTCCAATCAGGATTCCGATATCCCCTATGAGGTCAGAATCAAGCAGAGGATCTGCTAATTGTATTCCTTTTTCTTTTAGGAATTTAATTGTGGCTGCCAGACCAGTCACTTCCATTTCAGTAGGAATTTTATCAACTACTATGGCTTCTACTGTCCTTTGGGATGTACCTAGACAGACATTGAGTTTTACTACTGGAAAGGTTCTACGACCAGAATTAGTAAAAAACCCTGATATGGAGGTAGATACTTGCTTTGAAGATTTAAGTTGTAAATCTTCTGCCATCTTTTTACTGATAAAGGTTTTCTGTGACCCTTGATCAAAAAAGCCTCTAGTTGGAATACAAATTCCTTGATTGCATAGTTCTAGCTGTGCAGTAGGCAATATGGCTGTTGTAACAATTTCTGTATCCAAGTCGTTGACATTGCTCATTACTGTACAGAATTGTACGGCTGTTGTGGTATTATCATCTTTGGGCTTTGCCTGAGATGCAGGTTGATTATTGGATGTCTGTGATCTGGATTGAGTGTTAATATCACTACAGAGTGCTGTGTGATGTACACTTTTATGACAATATTGGCAGTTTTGCAATGGAGTGTTACACTCACTTGTATCGTGCTTCTGAAGACAACAGATGCACCTGTTGAGAGATTTCAGTCGATCGATTCGACTGGCACGGCCTTCATATACTGTGCATTGATAAATGGTATGTGCTTCTTGACAGAATAAACATTTTGGGGCACTTGCAGCTCCTTTTGTCTTATCTGTCTTAGGAGCTTGATTTCCTACAGTTCTGTTAACTGTGGGGGATACAGCATAAGAGCCAACATTATTCTGTTTCCACTTTGCAGAAGAGTTTTGTTGCCTTGATTTTTGACTGCCGTTTTGGACATTTTTATTTTTGTCCGTGGATTCACCTTTGGGGATTTTTTCTTGAGATCTAAGTTTTCCTCGGCTTCGTAATCTTTGTACGTAAGCTCGAAGTCCATCAAAGATTTGGCTTTGTGATAAGATGTTGTTACAAGTATGTAAAACTTGTAGGTAAGTAATTACATGCAAGTAGGTGATACAAGCATGTAACACTTGTACTCCTCCAAGGATTTCCTTAAAGGATGAATTGTATCTGTAATAATGTGTATCTACATTATTCATGATGTGATGAAGCATTTTGCTTTTTCTTTTTTCTCGGCTTTGCCTTTTCTATTAAGTAAGTCTCTTTGAGATGCTTGATTAACTTCAGATTTTCTGAGGCTGCTTTCACTCCAGTGAAAGCATGAAATTAAGTGATCAAGACTTTCTTCTTGGATTAAGATAGTTATCTTAGATGGATGATAATATTTGTATTGACATTGTCAATGGGCTGTTAGCCTTTCAGATTGTGATGTGAGATTAAGATTGGTCTTAATCCCCAATTGTAGACTATTGTAGCCAAGTGATGATGACATTTGTCTATCACCTGATTTAAATGGTCTTTAGGCTGTAGATTCAAGTGAGTTTTTAGACACTTTGTGTCCTTTTCTTTTCTGTTTCAGCTGCTGGTGAAATACTGTTAGTCATTTTGACCTTTTCCGAGTTTCGGAGATTCCGAGATTTTTCTCTTTTTTTCTGATAAATATGTATGATGTTAATGTATTTTGATAAATGAGCTTTCCTGTCTACTTAGGTAATGATTCCAAAGATCGTCCTTCATTTCCTCCCTGGAATCTGGTTGTAGCAGGTGTTCAATTATCAAAAGTACTGTAATAATTTGATTTGTGACCCGAATGCACGAATGCACCAAGTTGGTAAATCCTGTAATAATTTTTTAAAAATAGTAAATGGCACTATTTTTGCAAAGTTATTACAAAATCTGTTACCATAATAATTGTTAGATAAAATACAGTAGAATGTCTACTGGTTTTACCTGTTATAGGGTATGATATAGTTGATTATAGTTAGATTGTAATGAATGCTCTTACAGTGATGATAACACTTTTTTAATGAATATTATGTAATGAGCAGCTCTGAAAATCAGTAGATTAGAGATAATGCAAGATAATACACTTAAATATATATATAATGTTACCACAATGAGGTAGATAATTGATATTTATGATTAAGATGCAGTTGTGTCTTTGACACTGATATACTTAATTACTGAGGTTTCTTAACACAAAACAGTATCAGTTTGTTATGAATGCTTACTAGTTAATGGATATGGTGGCTTAAGCCACTGCAAACTATTTGTTTACTTAGATATATAGCTATGATAAATATTGGCTGATAGCTAGGTTAGGCTAGAATATGTAAAAATTATTCCAATGCAAAATCAAGAAGTTTCTTATGTATTTGGCATTGAAATATTCGGTAAACGAATGATCATAAATATCTAGGTACAAAGGACCATTATTATCTAGGTTCGAAGGACCATTAATGTGGGAAAAACCTGCTGGGATTGATATAAGAGGAGACTACCAGGGACTTGTACTGAACTAAATTAAAAATTTACTGTCTGCAAATTAATTCAACTAAAATCTCTAGCTAGGGTTGTAAATCCTAATTCCTCTTTTCCTAATGACAGACTGTGGGCTGTAAGGGACAGGTGGGGTGAATGACTTAGTTGATAGAAGTTCCAATCCACCTGTAGACAGGGATCTCACATCAGCTTGTATTTTATACAAGGATAAGATTTAATAAATTCAGTTGTATGACTGAACACTGGCTCTGTTTAAATCAGGGATTTAAACATACATAGTCTAACCTAGCACCATAACTTACAACCAATAGATTCTTATACTGTAAACAACAAATTAAATTGTAAAAGTATAATAAATGACCTTAAATATAGTCTAAATACTGTTAAGTAACTACTAGAAATTATATTCAATTAAATGAACTTATATGATAACTTAAAAAATTAACTAAGCAAGCAATTGATAACTTAATTTATATATTCAAATATATATGCAGACATATTCAATTTATATGATACAGTTAGCTTGACTGAATCTTTTCCAAAACTATGGACACTTGTGAGGTTTTTACTTATTGAGGCTGAATTATTTTCTGACACAATGGACACTCATGAGGTTCAGTGCTTGGATAAGATTCACAGCTACACTACAATTTTAATAAACTTACTGAAATGTGAGGCTTAGCCTCGCTTTTTAACCAACAGACAGATTTATAGGATATTAAAGTTACACAAGCATACAATTGGCCAATCATACACCAAATAATCCTCAATATACTTCTCTGCCAGTCGGGGTGCCTTGTCTGACAAGTTTGCCAGACTGATTAACTCTCTTGTCGAGTTTAGGCACTATATTTTGCTACAGCGTTGCTGTATGATGATCTGGTAGCGTTGCTACTTGGATTTTTCTTTAACTGCGTTGCAGAAGAATGATATTTGATAAAGAATAGGAATGAAGGTGGTGGAAACCGCGTCACTGATCTCCACTACACTCTTATTTTTATAAATGTTCTAGGATTTTCCTTGTAGATATTGTCCAGGTACTCCCCCAGTTCTAGAGAGTGTTCACTGGCGATAAAAATGTTAAATAAGGTGTCCTTGAGCTGGTAATGTTCGCTAAGGATTAGTCACTTGTTCACTCATTTGTAAACAAACGCGGAGTGCCGCGAGGCATCGTCGTGGGCGCTTCACTCCCCCCATCGCCCTGCCTTGCTCTCTGTGCACGGTAGCCTTCTATGAATATTGATTGATTATTTTTACAGTCTAGACTTATGATTAAGATAAGATGTGATTATAATATAATTAGATATAAGATTTAAAGATTATAAGTAGTATTTGCAAGTACCACTGATTCTTATTAAGGATTCGATTTTTAATCCTACCGGATGTTGAATCAATGTTCCAATAGTTTTTTAATTAAGAAATCCTTCTAGGAGCTTCTGGATCCTTGAGAGATCATGTACAAAGTCACGTAGGCATCAAAAGGGCCCCTGTTGCATACGTGTTCATGGTGCCATTGTCATCTAGGATCAAGCTATAAAATGAATCTATAATGATTCTAATATGATTTTGATACGATTTAGATATGATTTTGATATGATATAGAAATTATACATTTCTTAGATGATTATTAGATATGGTGGGTAAAAATTTCCCACACTTGTCATATATAGGATTCTGGCTTCACAGCTAGCGCACTTTTGACAGGTCAAGACGAGGAAGCAAGATTTGTGCACCAGTTACTGGGTGATATGGAAGCTACCTCAAAGAGGATAATTTGGTGTCTACACCCTAGTTATACCTGGTGGACTAACCTGCTGTACTATAAGATAAGGAACCTCTTCAATGTATGTAGTTAATTCTGTAGTTTGATTGGCTGCATATATATAAATATAAACCCCCCCTAATGTGTAGAGGATCGATTTGTGAGATTATGAGATTATTGCAGAAATACAGTCCACTTATCATTATACAAATTGCTATCGAAGTATATAAATTAACGTAAATATAAATTCATATAAATTAAATAAATATAAATCTCACAGGTCGGTTCCCACAGTGGTAACGACTATGGTGGTAACGACCATGGTGGTAACGACTATGGTGGGAACGACTATAGTGGTAACGATAACTAACTGGTAACTGCTGATTTCGATAACCACATGAGCGTTACTTGGATGTGGTAACGTTGTTGACAGTGGTGATGGTAACGGTGTTACCAATATGATTATAGTGAGTATTGTGATGGTAATGTCTGCTGATATCTTGGTGTGCAGAGTATCTATAGCTCTGTTGAATAGTCTCTGAGTATCTGTAGCGGTGATGTACAGTCTCTGAGTATCTGTAGCTGTGGTTACAGTCTGTGAGTGTCTGCAGCTGTGGTTACAGTCTGTGAGTATCTGCAGCTGTGGTGTACAGTCTGTGAGTATCTGTAGCTGTGGTGTACAGTCTGTGAGTATCTGTAGCTGTGGTGTACAGTCTGTGAGTATCTGTAGCTGTGGTTACAGTCTCTGAGTATCTGTAGCTGTGGTGTACAGTCTGTGAGTATCTATAGCTGTGGTGTACAGTCTGTGAGTATCTGTAGCTGTGGTGTACAGTCTGTGAGTATCTGTAGCTGTGGTGTACAGTCTGTGAATATCTGTAGCTGTGGTGTAAAATCACTGAGTATCTCCAGCTGTATCTTGAAGTCCTCATAAGTGAGTGAATCTTCAGAGATACAAAATACCAGTGAACAGTGGTATCAACCTCTAGACATAGGTAATAGGGGGAATTTACTTCTTTTCGATAGAAAATATTGTCTTCCTATTATTAGCGATTATTGAAAATGGTGGGAGAATTAACTGGGTATTCCCTCCTATTTTGAAACTTACTACATATGCACTCATATATTACTACATATATTGTTGATGTAATTTAATACCTATCACAAATCTTACCAATTATAAAGCTATCTAGTTTATATAATCCTGGACTTACAATAGTAATATCTAATTCACTTCCTTCTATAAATGAAGATTTAATAATATTTATTTCAGTAACTGATTTACACTCGACAGTTTTGCATTAATTAGCCCAGTCAATTGAATGGTTACAATCTCTTAAGTGAACAAATAATGCATTGGATTCTTGACCTGTACTTGTACTATATTTATGTTCTTTTATTCTCTGGTCAAGATGTTTACCATTTTGGCCAACATAGAACTTATTACTATCTTGACAGGGAATTGTGTACACACACATCTATTGTACTACAAGCTGAGTTTTTGATATAAGCGTTTGTTATGTTATCAAGATTCCTAAATGCTACATTGATATTAAATTGTTTTAGTAATTTGGGGAATTTCATTGAAATTTTCATGAAAGGGCAGAGCTATTGTATTCTTATTATTGTATTCTGTTTAATTTTGAAGGTAAAGAATGTTACGAGTAATTCGTCTGGCTATATCAATAATTGACTTAGGGCATTTTAAATTAAAACGTGTACTGTGTATGGCACTAATTTTGTCATCTATAAACTCAGGACTAGTTATGCTTAGAGCTTAAGCGTACATGAGACCCAACATTTGTTGGTTTTCTTTATGTAGAAAACCTTAAATTATTTTCACATATAAAATGAATCCTCTATGAATGGAAGAGAATCTTGTTTAATTTCCAATGTAAGCTTACTGGATGGGGCTAGATTATTGAAATCTAATAAAAATGTGTCCAGTTTTATTTGTTATGTTTCTATTCCTAGGATAGATGTTTCTATTCTTTGTTTCTATTCTTGTTTCTATTCTTAGGCCATAAGCAAAACGCATCATCAACATAACGAACCTTGTAACATTAGGAGGTAAAACTTTACTTAATAGTCTTGTTTCATAGAACTTTATATATAGATTGCTAAAATCTAGAGAAAGAGGGTTATCCAAAGCCACTCCAAATTTAGGATAATAGAATTCATTAATACAAATAAAATTCAATAACATACAGTTCTAACAATTCTATTAACATAAGAAATTGAAAATTCTTGACAGTAACTCCGTCCTGACCACATATGTGTGACTTGGTTAAAACAAATAGACAAAATAATTAATATATTAATTATAGGTGAATAATTAGTTTCAAAGCTTCAGTATCATATAAATCCGAGCCGGGTCATTTAGAGGGGAGAGAGAGGACTATCACGGGGAAAGCACCAAGCCATTTCGAATATATACTACTCGGAAGAAGTCAGGATAAGGATTTGGGATGTCCATCCCATTTCCTTATCAGTCCAGCCCATTTCTTATTGATCTGTGGTTCGCGCCATTAATGCAGCCTTTGTCACAATTGTAGGGACAGCGTGGCCCGTGGGTGCTCCAGAATTTGAAGAAAAACTGTACCCAAATTGAACCATGAGTGTTGTCGGGGGTTGGTTAGTCAAGGAGCTTAGTTAAGCATCCTGTTGTTGTTGTTTTAGACTTAGCCATTACGAACAAAATGTCCATGTAGCACGAGCTATATAGTGAGCCCGTAATTGAGTTCGGTTATTCGCGATAACTTTGTTATTGTGATATTTGGATTAAAGTTTTAAATAGAGGTGAGGTTTCCTCCTTTTCTCTCGTTTCTTTTTCGCTTCTGTTTTAACGCAATGGTTTTAGTCTTCTTTAAATAACATTATCTTGGTGGCGGATGTAGATGCACAGTGTTCACTAGTGTGTTTCATTCTTCAACTGCTTTTATAACCATTGTAGTCGCTGTGGATTTTCCTCTAATGCAGCTGCTCTTGTTGGATGAATATTGAGTATGATGCGCAGGGCTTCAGTTGCTTCTCATTCCAGTAAGTAGTGCAATAGTGCCGCCTCTGCATCTGTTCCACTGATATGACACTCTTTAACTATTGGGTTTATTACCTCCCAGCAGCACTTGTATCAAAGTCTGAGTCTGTGTATGGCTACTGCAATGTCTCTGGATATCTTTTTGCGAGGTTTGAAAGAGGAGTACCAGTGGCTTGGTTGTACCACGTTGCAATGGATCTTCCTTCCGCTACTTTGGCTCTGTGGCGTCTTTTAATCGTTAGAAGTATTTTCTTCTTGATTTGCTCCTGAATCTCTAAAAAACTTGCAGGTATTTTAACCTGTGCAGCAGGTAGGGCAGTGGCAGTAGCATTAAAGGAAAAACATAGAGATTTAAAAGTGTAGGGACACCTCGCTCTTCGATTCACCTAATTACCTCCTTAATCGTAGGGCGCGGTGAAAAATCGGATAAGAAGATTGTTGTCTTACTCCGGCTTCTAGCAGTCCGCCAGGTCTTACATCTTCCCTCTGGATCAATGGTGGACCATCGAACAACTGTATGCTCGAAGGTGAATTTATCTGGATGTTGAATACGTAGTCAATATAATACGTAATTCTGAGTCGAATCATAATGATATAGCAATTTTTTTCAAGGGGTTTCTTCGGAACTTTGTCGCATGGCATTTTTTTCATCGAAGAAATACCTATTAGCCCATGTTGGGCACGTACCCATCTTTAATTACTGGAAAACATTAGGAGAAGTTATCCCAAAGCATCTGGCCTCCACCCTCGGCATGCAAATACATGCATAAAGACATCCAAGCTAGCGAAGTCACAAAAACGTGGTTTAAGTATGTTGACCACACCACACTAGAAAGTGAAGGGACGACGACGATTCGGGACGATCGACTTGAGAATGGTCCAGAACGGACCGAAACGTCGCCGTCCCTTCACTTTCTAGTGTGTAGTTTGGTCAACACATCCAAACAGACAAATATTTTCATTTATAGATAAAGATTTCTGTAGGTAATGCTTAAGTGAAGTGTTTGTTCTGCCTGTGTATATGTTTCTGAAGCGCGTGGAGAGTGTAGACCCTGAGAGAGTGTGTTGATCAGTATACACCGCCCCGACACTCAGGCGCTGCTTGGCTCACTGCTACACTCACGGTGCTCCTCTGCTCGAGCGTATATAAAACACTTCCCACCTCGATTTACTGCTAATCAAAAAAGTTAATAACCATTAAATAAGCGTGAAATTAGAACTGAGCAGAAAATTAATATAAAAAATACTTTAATATAAATGTAAGTAAGTACACATACTCACACACATATTTATATATATATATATATATATATATATATATATATATATATATATATATATATATATATATATATATATATATACCGGGGTACCACCTTTGTTGCAATTGCAGAGACCCATAGCCTTGGAGAAGAGAATAAATGGTTTTTAGAGAAGGCCTTGCCCGTTCTCCTTGAATACTTTTTAACTATTTACTTATCCTACCACCCATATTTTTGTATTATTTTACACAATACTTATTAGATCTATTTTATTACATTGTGTTAAAATTTACAGAAAACACACACACACATATAGCAATCATTGTCCGAAAACTTTATTCAGCTCTGCAGAGGTCGGGTGCGTGCCCAAATTTTTACAGGCATTTCCTCTCTAGATTGTAACACTTGTGCGCTGGAACAGTAAATTGGGGGCTCTTGGGTCTCTTATTTGCTTAATGAGTTCCTTATCCACCTTGTTCAGGAGTTTGACTGCACACTTACCCCATGCGCCCAGGGTCTAAGAGAGTATTTAGAGAATTTTTACGGCTATCATACATGACACATCAAGATTTCAGGTCATTAAAAGAAACTCGCCGAGAATCTTTAACACGTATGAACGTCCTCGCTAATGCAAAACGCTGAGATTAGAGGCGTAACTTTTGAAAGGTTAACAGGTGATTTGGAACCTGGCTATAATTGTCAGGAATTGTAGTCAATACAGTGGACATACAAGGACTCGGCATATAATTTTTGTTTTAACAGCTCTCATACAGTTTCCTTCACTATGAAAATAACATTTCTGCTTTCTGTGACAAACTGAAGTGTACTAATGTAGAATATCAAAGCAGATGCATTTCTGGAGACCCTGCGCTCCGAAATATATGCTATATTGCACACACTAATATTCTGTATAGGAGTCGTACACTTCATTTGCATGTACGAGGAATTTAGCATCACCACTCTTGATACCACAGTACCATCCTGAATCACCAGGACCTCATTGAGGACACCACTGTCAACACGCACACCAGTCATCGAAGGAGGTTACGAACACTTGACGCCATAACCATTCGA